AGGAGAGGTGTTGTGGTTTCGAGTGTTTTCCTTTTTTTTTTGCATTGGTTTCCTTCCCTCTTTTCAGATTTATCCACCTGTCGTCTTTGTAGTTGCTGATTTTCAGATTGGGTCTCTGAGTGGATGTCCAGTTTGTTGATGATGAAGTTATTTCTGTTTCTTAGTTTTCCTTTTAACAGTCTGTCCCCTCTGCTGTAGGACTGCTGAGGTCCACTCCAGGTCCTGCTTGCCTGGTGATCACCTGCAGCAGCTGCAGAACAGTAAGGGTTGCTACCAGTTTCTTCTTCTGCTATCTTTGTCCCAGAATGATGTCTGCCGAATGTCAGTCTGATCAGTCCTTTGTGAGGTGACTCTTTGGATATATGGGGTCATAGGGCTGCTTGAGTTACAGTGTGTTTTTTATAGGAGCTCAGGTGCTGAGCTGTGAGCTCCATTGTTCATTCAGAGCTGCTGGGCAGGTACGTTTAATTGTGCTGCAGCAGAACTCATAAACCCCCTTTTTTTTCCCCAGGTGCTCTGTCCCGGGGAGTTAGGGCTTTATTTATGAGTTTTCATTGTGCTGCTGCATTTTTCTTCGGGCTGTCCTGCCTAGCAAGGAGGCAGCCTAGTCACTGTCTGCCTGCAGAGTCTTTGCTGAGCTGCTGTGGGCTCTGCTCTGCTGCCGTGTGAACTTCCCTGCAGTCCCGTTTATATGGGTGTAGTTAGAACTGCCTCAGCAATGGTGGCCCACCTCTGTAATGGTGGACTCTCTCTGTAATGTTGGGTTGCCTTGGCTATGGCAGGTTGCCTCAGCAATGGCGGAATGCCTGCACAGGGGTGGAGTGCTTCGCTAATGGTGGATGCCCATCCCCCACAGAGCTGGACCGTCCCAGGTTCACCTGTGCTTGCTGTGAAACTCTCAACTGAGAGCGTTTCCAGTTGCTGTTTTTTTTGTGTGTGTGTGGGAGTGGCCTGATCATCTGGCTCCCTGCCTCAGAGCCTTTTTTTTAAAAGTTGAATGGTTGACTCTCTCCCAGGTGTTCCAGTTGCCTGCTGAAAAGGCGCTGGGATCTGTGTGATTTCCCATGCGGTGAACCACTGCACCGGCTGAAACAATGGCGCTGCCCGGGAATCTCCTTGCCCGGGTCCCTGTTTCAGTTCCCTGTTTAATCAGATGAATGGGAAACTCTGCCTTCCCAGAGCTCCAATCGCCAGCTTAAAAGGGCAACCAGACCAGTGTATTTTGTATGGAGAACTGCCGCACCGGCCAAAACAGCTGAGCTGGCGACCTGTGGGGCTCCTCCACATGGGAATCTCCTGGTCTGTGGGCAATAAAGATCCATCTGGAGATGAGGCATCCACTCACCCTCTGTGCTTTTACTGGGAGCTGCAATCTTGAGCTGCTCCTAAACGGCCATCTTGGATCTTCCCCTCATTAATCTTTTGTTACATCTGACTACGCTTCTGATTTCGTCTTCACCAAGCAATTTTCTTAACTTCCCATGAAGCTTAGCTATATTAAGAAAATGCACTCATTCAGTGTGGTCCATGTGATATTTATATTACTCATTAATTATCATTCTGGTTTTATTACTGAGTTTCATGGGCTTGGTTAATGAGCATCTATCCCAAAAGATAAATCTATTTTTTGTATGATGATAAAATTAGATATATGTGGACATAAGCACAAGGGCCAGATGCTGGACCTCAGCAGTTCACCAAAGGAATCCTTGTCATTTATCCACTAAATTCTTCTGGGAAACTCCCTCCCATCCTTCCCTAGTCATCATACTCTGATACTACCATTAGTCAAGCAGGCCTTCTTAAGTATCTTTGGAACCAAGCAGGTGCTACATTAAAATGGGTTTTGAAAATTCATCTCAAAAGAGGCAAAGGAGGAAGTCAAACTGTCTCTCCTTGCAGGTAACATGATTCTATGTCTAGAAAACCCCATTGTCTCAGCTCCAAAGCTTCTTAAGCCAATAAGCAATTGCAGCAAAGTCTCAGGATACAAAATCAATGTACAAAAATCACAATCATTTTTATATACAGAGATTCTTATATCTCTATGCCTATACTGCACACCTGTACAAAAATAGACAAGTAGAGAGCCAAATCATGATTAACTCCCAATCACAGTTGCAACAAAGAGAATAAAATACCTAGGAATACTGCTAACAAGGGAAGTGATGGGCCTCTTCAAGGAAGACTATAAACCACTGCTCAAGGAAATCAGAGAGGACACAAACAAGTGGAGAAACATTCCATACACATGGATAGGAAGAATCATATCATGAAAATGGCCATACTGCCCAAAGTAATGTGTAGATTCAATGCCATTCCCATTAAACTACCATTAACATTATTCACAGAACTGGAAAAAAAAACTACTTTAAAATCTATATGGAACCAAAAAACAACCCTTATAGCTAAGACAATCCTAAGCAAAAGAACAAAGCTGGAGGTATCATGCCACCGGCCTTCAATCTGTATTATGAGACTACCGTAACCCAAACAGCATGGCACTGGTACAAAAACAGACACAGACCAGTAGAACAGAGTAGAGATCTGAGAAATAAGACTGCGCATCTGCAACCAGCGGATATTTCACAAACCTGACAAAAGCAGTGGGGAAAGAATTCCCTATTTAATAAATGGTGATAGGAAAACTGGCTAGCCATACACAGAAAATTGAAACTGGATCCCTTCTTTACACCTTATACAAAAATTAACTCGAGATGGACTAAAGACTTAAATATAAAACCTAAAACTATAAAATCCCTAGAAGAAAATCTAGGTAATACCATTCAGGGCCTAGGCATGGGCAAAGATTTCATGACAAAAATGTCAAAAACAATTGTAACAGAAGCAAAAATTGACAAATGGGATGTAATTATACTAAGGAGCTTCTGCGCAGCCAAAGAAGCTATTATCAGAATGAACAGATAACCTACAGAATGGGAAAACATTTTTGTAATCTATGTAACAAAGGTCTAATATCCAGGATCTACCAGAAACTTAAACAGATGTGTAAGACAAAACCAAACAACCCCATTGAAAAGTGGGCAAATAACATGAATAGAGACTTCTGAAAAGAAGACATTTATGCACCAACAAACATGAAAAATAGGTCAACATCACTGATCATTAGAGAAATGCAAATCAAGATCACAATGAGAAACCATCTCACGGCACTCAGAATGGCGCTTATTAAAAAGTCAAGAAACAGCAGATGCTTGCAATGTGGAGAAGTAGGAATACTTTTACAGTGTTGATAGGAATGTAAATTAGTTCAATAATTGTGGAAGACAATGTGGTGATTCCTCAAAGACCTAAAACCAGAAATACCATTTGATCCAGAAATACCATTTTATCCATTACTGGATATATATTCAAAGGAATATAAATTATCCTATTATAAAGATACATGCATGCATATGTTCATTGCAGCACTGTTCACAATAGCAAAGACATGGAATCAACCCAGATGCCCATCAATGATAGACTGGATAAAGAAAATGTGGTGTGTATACACCATGGAATACTATGCAGCCACCAACAGGAATGAGATCACGTCCTTTGCAGGGACATAGATGGAGCTTGAAGCCATTATCCTCAGGAAACTAACACAGGAACAGAAAACCAAACACCACATGTTCTCACTTATAAGTGGGAGATGAACAGTGAGAGAACATGGAAACAGGGAGGGGAAAACACACACACTGGGCCAATGGGGGTGGGAGAGAAAGCATCAGGATAAATAGCTAATACACGTGGGGCTTAATACCTAGGTGATGGGTTGATTGGTGCAGCAAACCACCATAGCACACATTTACCTATGTGACAAACCTGCATGTCTTGCACATGTATCCTGGAACTTAAATATAAAGAAAATTCATCTCATTAAGTCCCCTGTCTTAAATCAGGTAAATGTTGAAATCATTTAGGTAGATTATTTCTACTTTCTTTTTTTTAAGATCTTGAGGAACAGAGACTGTGGTAATTTCTTAAGTGTCCCTTGGACTTTTTCATATTGTTATTACAGGATGAGTTGTGTCCCTCCAAAATTCGTATATTGAAGCTCTAACCCCCACCCAGAACCTTAGAGTATGACTGTATTTTTTAGACATAGGACCTTTATAAAGGTTAAAGTGAGATCATTAGGGTGGGCTTAGTCCAAAATAATTGATGTCCTTAAAAGAAAAGATTAGGGCACAACACAGACCAAGGGTTGATCTTGTGGGACCTAGAAAGAAAGTGGCCATCTGTGGCCGGGAGCAGTGGCTCATGCTTGTAATCCCAGCACTTTGGGAGGTTGAGGCAGGCAGATCACTTGAGGTCAAGCGTTTGAGACCACTGTGAAATCCCGTCTTTACTAAAAATACAAAAATTAGCTGGGCGTGGTGGTGCATGCCTATAGTCCCAGCTACTTGGGAGGCTGAGACAGGAGGATCACCTGAGCCCAGAAAATGGAGGTTGCAGTGAGCCAAGATTGTACTACTGCATTCCAGCCTGAGTGACAGAGTGAGACTGTCTCAAAAACAAAAACCAAAACAAAGAAACAAACAAGAAGTGGCCATCATCTGCAAGCCAAGGAGAGAGATTGGCCTCAGAAGAAACCAAACCTGCTGACACCTTGATCTTGGACTTCTAGCCTCTAGAATTGTGAGAAAAGAGATTTCTATTGTTTACCACCCATTTTGTGGTATTTTGTTATGGAAGCCCTAGCGAACATACTGTATTAAAGTTCTTTCTTATGTCCATATGAGATACTCCCAGCTTTAATTTATTAAGAATCCACTTTCTTTTGTTTGTTTACAGAGTCCTCATAAAACACAATTTATACTTGAATGGAGTGAGTACACAGCACTTTGATCTTATTTTAACTAAGTCTCTCACTCCCTCTGATCCCATTTGTGTTCTATCTGGATATCTTGCCACTTTTCTCTGGACATGCTTCAGTTTCTCCACATTCATTTGAAGTTTGGGGATCAAGACAAAATAAAATACTCTAATGAGGATCTGATTGATTTAAAACATATTCACCCCCAACCCTTATCTGTTACATTTTATAACTTTTTATTTGTTTATTACTTTATAGTGGCAGTATGTTGTCGATTCAGTCACCTTATCAGTAATAGTGGTTCTATCTTTCCAATGTCCTTGGCCTTAGCAAGGTTTACTCATTCTCTGTTTATGCCTGATCCCATGGTCATGAATGGCCTTGACTGGGTTCCTCTTAAGTCTCCCTTATGCTAGTCTCTTTTCAGTCTTAAAGTCCTAGTCAGCCCTGCCTCTGAAGAATTAATGTAGATCCTTTTATAGCTTTCACCTAGGTTATGAGGTTTAAGTTGCTGGAGGGGCCCACTGTGATATGATTGTAACAGTCATCATGCCATTTTTACAACCTTGAGTTATAAGTTTCTTGTAGGTGTTTCACTAGCTTTATAGTTTGCTTTGCCAGAAGTAGAGCCTGAGATGGAGATCTGGGTGCAGGCGATTTATTGAGGATGTGTTCTTCAGGAAAAATCTGTAATGGAGGGAGAGAAGCAGGATTAGGAAGGGTTAAGAGCAAGCAATGATGTGGTCTCAGTTAAAATCAGCCTTGGTCTAATCCTTGGAGTGTTTCATGGGCCTCCGAAGCATAATTGCACTGCAGAATTGTCTCTTCTTGAGGCAGAGATGGGGCAAAGAGGGAGGAAGGTACTTCCTGGGCCAAGTGGCTGTCATCAGCCAGGGTAAGTCTCTACAGAGGGAGGCACTTCTGTGTAGTTAGGAGCTGTTTTAATCCGTTAGGATTGCTCTAACAAAATGCTATCAACCAAGTGGCTTGTAAACAACACAGATTTACTTCTTACAGTTCTAGAGGCTGAGAAGTTCAAGGTGCTAGCAGATTTGGTATTTGGTGAGGTTCCACTTTCTCGTTGATGGCACCTTTTCATGTGTCCTCACATGGTGTAAGGGGCAAATGAGTACCCTAGGCCCTTATAAAATGGGCATTAAGCCCTCAAGACCTAGTCACCTTCCAAAAGGCCCTACTCCCTAATACCATCACCTTGGGGGTTAGGACTTCAATATGTGAATTTTGGAGGGACAGAGACATACAGATCATAGAAAGCCAAAATTCACAGTGGCTGAGGGAAAGCGACATCATATTGGTAAAGGGGAACTAGGTGAGCAGTGGCATCACTGACATAGCATTAAGGCTAAAGCATACTCCCCAATGTGCAATTGAAGACCACATCCCTAATTAAAAGGATTTTAAACCAAACAGGATGGAATTGCTCACTGAAGTGCTGAGCTGGCAGAACTCACTGAGGAGCCACTCCAGAGAACAAGTGGGAATAACAGGAGGTGTGTTAAAGAGAGTAGCTAGCTGGGTGTGGTGGCTCATGCCTGTAGTCCCAGCACTTTGGGAGGCTGAGCCAGGAGGATTGCTTGAGCCCAGCAGTTCGAGACCAGTCTGGGCAACCTGGCAAGACCCCATGTCTACAAAAAATTAAAAAAATTAACTGGGTGGAATGATGTGCACCTGTACTCCTAGTTACAGGGGAGTCTGAGCGGGGGGGGATCTCTTGAGTCCAGGATTTCAAGGCTGCAGTGACTTATAATTGTACGCTAAACTCCAGCCTGAGGGACAGAGTAAGACTCTGTTAAAAACAAACACAAAAACAGAAGAGCTCTTCTAACAGAGAAACCTGTACTTTATTTCTTCTCCAAAGAGTCTTCTATACATTTGTACCCTACCCTCCAGCCTCCAGACTTGGGCCTGATTATGAATCAGTTTTCATTCTTGGGAGATATTAATTGGATTCATTGGGTTATCTCTATGCCAGTATTTCTAAATAATCAAGTGACCATTTCTTATTGTAGTCTTTATTTTTCTTTATTTGTTTTTGAGACAGTATCTTTCTGTTATGCAGTGGCATGATATTGGCTCACTGCAACCTCCACATCCCAGGTTCGTGAATCTTGTGCCTCAGCCACCTCAGTAGCTGGGAATATAGGCATGCACCACCATGCCTAGCTAATTTTTCTATTTGTATTAGAGACAGGGTTTTGCCAATTGGCCAGGTTGATCTTGGACTCCCCTGGCCTCAAGTGATCTGCCTGCCTCAGCCTCCAAAAGTGCTGGGATTAGAGGTGTGAGCCACCACACCCAGCCTCTGATTGTAATCTCTATTTGTCTTTTCTAAGAATTACTCTAGTTAGCTATCCTGATTTTTTAATATAATAATAAATATATAGTTGAACAAATACAAATCTTGATATCTTCCTGATGTACACATCTGAGGTTAGTTTTTCTCTGGTCTCATAATTTGACTTCATGTAATTATAGAATTTGAAGATATATTTAAAGTAAGATAAGTTACATTGCTTTTCTGATTTTCATTGCCTTTGATTTTGTCCTTACACAATTATATTGTCACTTTATAATTGGTACTTTTAATAATTTGACCTATTTCTTACTTTTAGAAAATTTCTCATTAGGTTGTCAGGTCTCTGACTTTAACCTACATGGTACTTTTAATCTTTATGCCTCTATTGTATACAAGCATATTTTTTTCATAAATATTTTCTTTTTGAATAAGTGAAACTGAATAATTCAAATTTCTATCTAAAATTTAAGGGCAGTATGAATTTTAGAGGTGATGTTGTCTGTGTTTAATTTCTGGTAAGGAATGGGGAAACGGGAAGCCAGACAGCCCTCTCCTTTTGTCAGGTATCAACTGTGTTGCTTTTTTTTTTTTTTTTTCACTCAGGCCTCAGAATGAGGCGCTTTACTGGACGCTATTCTGACATCACTTTCCAGACTGTCTCACCCTCTTGGAAACAGGCATGGGAGGCAGGGAGGGGAATCTTCCTGGGACTGTGGGTAGTGGCTGGGGGAATGGAGGGGTGGGAGGCAGCTGATTTGCGGGTGCTCCTGCGACTGGTGGATGCGGTCCGGATGGAATAAGCCTTCAGGGGCCCAGGACCCGCACTGCTGGAGAAGCTCAGCGCATTGCTGCCCATGGTTCCCCCGAAGCTCAGCCCAATGCCACCGCCACTGCCACTGCCACTACCACTGCCTCCAGTGGAATTCACCACAGAGATATTCACGGCTCCCACTCCATCTCCGGCCAACCGGCTTTCCTGGCCCTCCAGCAGCTTGCAGTACGTGGCAATCTTGATCTCCAGGGCCAGCTTGACGCTCATCAGCTCCTGGTACTCACGCAGCTGCCGTGCCATGTCCTGCTTGGCTCGCTGCAGGGCTGCCTCCAGCTCCTCCTGCTTGGCACGAGCATCCTTAAATGCCAGCTCCCCGTGCTCTTCAGCCTCAGCAATGGTGGCCTCCAACTTGGCACGCTGGTTCTTCATGGCGTCAATCTCAGCCTGCAGCCTCTGGATGGCCCGGTTCATCTCTGCACTCTCTTTCCGGGTATTCCAGAGGTTGTCCCCATGCTTCCCAGCCTGGGCCTGGAGGGTCTCAAACTTGGTCTGGTACCAGGCTTCAGCCTCAGCCCGGCTGCATTTGGCCATCTCCTCATACTGAGCCTTGACCTCAGCAATGATGCTGTCCAGGTCCAGGGAGAGACTGTTGTCCATGGACAGCACCACAGATCTGTCTGAGATCTGGGACTGCAGCTCTGTCAACTCCATCTCATGGAGGGTCCTGAGGAAGTTGATCTCATCATTCAGGGCGACCACCTTGGCCTCCAGCTCCACCTTGCTCATGTAGGCAGCATCCACATCCTTCTTCAGCACCACAAACTTACTCTCAGCAGCCGTGCGGCAGTTAATTTCATCTGCGTACTTATTCTTGAAGTCCTCCACCACATCCTGCATGCTCCGCAGCTCCACCTCCAGGCAGCCCCCATCCACCTGCAGCACCTCAAGCTGCCCCCTAAGGCCAGCAATCTGGGCCTCAAAGATGTCTGGGAGATGGCTGCTCTTGGCTGACTTCTGCTCCTGCAGCAGCGCCCACTTGGTCTCCAGCAGCTTGTTCTGCTGCTCCAGAAAAGGCACCTTGTCGATGAAGGAGGCGAACTTGTTGAGGGTCTTGATCTGCTCACGCTCCTCCTGGAGCACTCGCTGGAGGGAGGTGTCGGTGTCCAGCCGCAGCGGGACCAGCAGGCTCTGGTTGATGGTGACCTCGCGGATGCCGGCGCCTACCGGGACCCCATAGGCGGAGCGCATGGCCACGCGCGGCCGCGAGGAGCCCAGGCCATAGAGGCTGCTGCCGCTGAAGCCACCGGGGCGCGCGGAGCTCAGGCGCACCTGGGCGCCGCGGCCGGAGAAGCCGGCCTAGCGCGAGCTGAACAGCGGGGAGCTGAAGTGGATGGACATGGCTGGGCCGGGCTGGACCTAGCAGCGGGCGAGGAGTGCGCACTAGCTCAACTGTGATGATTTTTTGTTGTGTTTGAAATGTTGTGAACTCAATATCAGAAATAGGTATTCATTTTTACATAAAAATATAATGCTTTTCCAAAGCCAAATTTAAATGATTTTAAGTTACGTTTCATTTCAGTGGAACTATGGCCCTGCATCCTTCCAATAGGGAAGGCAGATAGCATAAAGATTGCAAGATTTGATGTTAAGAATGTTTATTTGAATCCTAACTCCAACAATTATTAATTCTATGGCCTCACTTAGCTTCTCTGTATATGCGTTTCCTGATCTATAAAATGCATATACATTTAGAGGACTATTGGGAAGATGAGACCAACAACAATTTTTCAGAATAAAGTAATTCAAGTTATATCAGCCATTTCTAGTTACTAGAAATCCCTAGATATAACCAGTAGATGGCTGATATAATATGCTCCATCTCTAGTAGCCTCCTATTATGAGTTACTGTAGTTATCAAGATAGATTTCCAGTAACTAATAACAGGAGACTACTAGAGATGGAGCATGTTGTGTGAGAGCCAGAAGATTTGGCTCTGAGCATTCATGTTTTTATGTATAAATGCTCAAAGAAGAAGTTGTCTCCATCTCTTTCTTTGGCCACTTATACATTTTAAGAAGTAAAACTATAAGATTCTTTTGTATCCATGGATGATTTAAGTGAAAAAATTTTTTAATGTTAAAAAAAATTCCCACCTGACTCAAGAATGAGTCAGGAACCTGTATGTCTTTTCTCTGGGTCTGTGTCTTATTCTATTTGCTTATAATGATTTTATTCATTTGAAACCTATCAGAATCTGAAACTGCCTTAATACTTTGTAGTTCCTGCCCACTACCTCTGTTCAGTGCTAACTCTCAGAGTATTTCCTAATCATATCTTCTGCTCTCTGATGTTGCTAGGAGACCACAGATTTAAGCCTCTTAGATATCTTTCTTTATCCTGATCATTTCTTTTTACTTTCCCCCCCCATTATCTCATTACCTAAAAATGCATCTTCTCTAACCCAGGATTGTCTCCTAGCTTCCTGGTTTATCACCAATATTCCTGTTTGTCAGTATGTCCTCTAACTAATATCTTGTTCACTATTCCTCTTCTCAATACTAATTCATTTCTTTGTCTACATTACTCTCTGAGGGGGCCATATTTTGCTACCCCAGGCTACTTCTCTGAATTCTAGATTGGGAATCTAGTTTTGAGAATTGTCCTTTTAATAGGTAAATATCTATTTCATTATGTTTATTTTCTGTTCCTGCTACAACAGTTTCCTTCTGTCATGGGAAGTAAATGCTACCTGCACTTTCTATTCACATTTGTAGATGGCAAGATGGTGGCTGGCAAAGTCTTGATGGCAAAGCAAGAAATTATTGAATGTGTAGCCTCAGCAGCTATGATATCTCCAGAAAAACTTCCTGGGGAAACACCTTCCAAACAGATAGTTGAAGAAGCTTTGGGAGGTCTGGACAACTCTAAGAAGCAAAAGGGAAGTGCTGTGGTGAACAAAATCAGTCAGCTTCCTTCTCAGGAAAGACATTTCACTCTGGCAACCTTTAACAAAAGAATCCCCACAGAACACAGTGTCCTTGAATCTCATGAGAGTGAAGGAAGTTTCAGTGTTAATTCAAATGATATTACACAACAGAGAGTTCACACTGGGGAAAAGGTCTATGAGTGCTTTGACTGTGGGAAGGCTTTTTGCCAGAGCTCAAAGCTGATCAGACATCAGAGAATTCATACTGGAGAGAGACCTTATGCATGTAAAGAATGTGGCAAAGCCTTCAGTTTGAGCTCAGACCTTGTTAGACATCAGAGAATTCATAGTGGTGAAAAACCTTATGAATGTTGTGAATGTGGAAAAGCCTTCAGGGGTAGCTCCGAGCTCATCAGGCACCGGAGAATCCACACTGGAGAGAAGCCTTATGAATGTGGAGAATGTGGGAAAGCCTTCAGCCGGAGCTCAGCCCTTATTCAGCATAAGAAAATTCACACAGGAGATAAAGGCTATGAATGTATTGAGTGTGGTAAGGCTTTTGGTAGGAGCTCTATCCTTATTGAACATCAAAGAATTCACACTGGAGAGAAACCTTATGAATGTAATGAATGTGGAAGATCCTTCAATCAGAGCTCAGCCCTCACCCAGCACCAGAGAATTCACACTGGAGAGAAGCCTTATGAATGTAGTGAATGTAGAAAAACATTTAGGCATAGGTCAGGCCTTATGCAGCATCAGAGAACACACACCAGAGTTTAACTCTGTGGGTAAGAGTTGTACAATTATGAAATGCAAGAAATTCACTGTAGGGGTGAGACTCCACAGAAAATAGAAGTTTCCTGAGAGCAGGACTTCTATCCTTCCAGTTCAGTTCAGTACTCCAAGAGGACATCCACACAAAGATGTTTGTTATGATTACTGACGTGTTGAATGGAAGAAAAATTTTACCCAGGTCTCCTCCAAAAAGAATGATAGATATTTCCTTGAAATGCCTAACCCATTTCCAGATGAGACTCATCAGTATCCCCTTCACTCCACTCTCTGCCACTCAGATACAATTTGCATTGGGCACCTTTACAGTAGTGTCAGGATTGGGACACTACTTTTTCAAGATATCTTGAAAGAGCGTCTTATAAGATAGCAAACGTACCTGGAAAGAGCATTTGTATTTTGGCAGGTGGAGGTATGTGCTGAGTTATTCAACTATCTGAAATGTTGGATTTAGAGACTGTGAAATATATGCTATTAGTTTAATAGTATCTGAGGCAGTTAAATAGTACCTAAGGAATGCTGCCTCATTCTGCCCCCTTGCCAGTTCTCTCCTCAACCCTGAGTTCCCTGCTAAGGTCAATTTCCTCAATAAACAGGTCTACTTGTTTATTGAGCACCTGCTGTGTGCTATGCATTGAGGTGAACATGGTCATTGCCCCCCAAGAGTAAAGGGCTAATAGGATATGCATATATACTAAACAGTAATTACAGTGAAGTGTGATAAATGTTTTGGTAGGAAAAATGCAGGTTTCTTTCAAAGTACATGGCAGAGATACCTAAACCTGGTCTGTGAATCACTAAAGACTTCCTGGATATGATGACATCTCAGTTAGACCTAAAGATGGGTAGAAGGTAACAAGAGCAGGAGAAAAGAGAAGAACAGGATCTAGAGACACCCCTTCATTGAGACTCTACTGCAGAAATTGTCATAGACCTAATTTTTTTTTAAGGAATCTGAGGGAGTAATTCAACAAATATTTACTGCCCTCAAGTATAATAGCTCAGGGTCTGCAAGCCTGGTAAGGAGGAGAGAGGGCAGGGAATGGGGAATAGTGGAGCCTGGGAAGGCAGATCACTCTGTTTCTTTATGCTTCCCACTTCCTGAGTCCCAGAGTTAGGAGACACAAACGCTCTAGTCTCCACTGTCTCTCAGGCCTCTGATATGCATTCTTTCCCTATGTTTATACATGCCCGCAGATCACTGTTCCTTTATGTTTCCCACTTCCTGAGTTCCAGTCGTACACACTCCAGTCCCCACTGTCTCTCTGGCCTCTGATATGCATTCTTTCCTTGTGTGCATACATGCCTTTTTCCATAAGATGCACCGGAGCCTCTCACCACACTAATTCTGAGCACTTTAGGGTCTCATAGGTCACGCTGGGTCTAGGATAGGCTCCCCAACTCAGTGATTATAAGTAGGAAGAGGGAAACCAACACATTAGAATTCTGAGCCAGGCTTTATGGTAACTAATTCCTGCTGCAGAAAAGAGTCCTGATGAAGGGGTGTCTTCAGAGTTTATCTTATCTTCATTGTATGTGCTATAACCTCTGCCTGTAAGTCTCTCTGCTAATTTTTATTTTGGCATTTTTAATTAACCCACAATTGCTGAGGGCAATTAATTACCTAAGAGAAAGTTTGATTCCTCTACTAAGATGTCCTCCTAGATGGTGTCATTTCTAAAGACTTGTGGTCACTACTTCTATTAGTCCATTTTCACACTGCTATAAAGATACTACCTCAGACTGGGTAATTTATAAACAACAGAGGTTTAATTGGCTCACAGTTCTGCAGGGCTGGGGAGGCCTCAGGAAAGTTAAATCATGGCTGAAAGGGAAGGGGAAGCAGGCACCTTCTTCACAAGGTGGCGAGAGAGAGAGTGAGTGCAAGGGAAATGCCAGGCACTTACCAAAAAACCAGATCTCATGAGAATTCACTCACTATCATGACAGCGGCAAGGGGGAAATCTGCCCCTGTGATCCAATCATCTCCCACCTGGTCCCTCCCTCAACACCTGGGGATTACAATTCAAGATGACATTTGGGTGAGAACACAGAGCCAAACCATATAACTGCAGTTGTGGGTAATAGGGGAGGTGAAATTCGGGGGACAGTTCACTCCCTTTGTGTCTAGAGGTTGTGCAGTTATCAAGTGAGGTAGATCAGAAGTCTAAAGGGATCCTTCAAATGGATAGTGAGTTGCCTTTTCCTATAGGTGACAATCAGATTTAATGTTTTAAATATGATTTAATAGGTTTCTCTCCTGATTGTGAATTCTAAATGTTGGTAATACAGAAAATGAGAAAATGTAAATCACCTCCAATCTCATTGCCCATAGAAACGTTAACATTTTGGAGTACCGTCTATTAGTGTTTATTTTTCCCAATCCTATTATTTTTAGTAAAACTGTTTAGTAAATAACTTTTGGTAACTAATTTCAAAATTTATACTTTTGAGTGTATACTTCAACTGTTTATTATTAGAATGTAATGCAAGATATAATAAAACTTGAGTTTCAAAAGTTTGCTTTGAAATTATTCACTCAGGAATAGGGAACACATAACATGCATGGAGCTAATTGATAGGAGGATGGGGAAGAGGTTGTGGGAAGAAGACAGGGAATTGGTGTTCTCACTTTCTATTTCCTGGGCCAAAAAATGTCAGAAAACTAAAATAGCCAGTCTCTGGGGCTGTGGTTAACCAAAGTGAGGGGGCATCTGGGATTTAGTTGTTAAAAGACAATGGGAATGAGAGCAAGAAGAGTCCTCTTTAAACATAAACACATCCTATATCAATCAGAATGAGGACTCTCTCATCCCTTTAGAGGAGATGGCCATATGCACTAGATTGGAATCTTCAACACTAATTGCTGAGAAAGACCAAACTTAGACCTGTGGACCTGCCGTGACTTCCTTCTCCCTCAGCAGGTTCTCAGTGAGCTCGGAGAGATGAGGGTCAGATTTGCTTTAAATTTCCAATCCTGGATGTGTTAGTTGCAGGCTGTGGAAATGAGGAAGAAGAGGAAAGGCAAGAAACCAATATTATTGCCTAAATTGCACATTATCTTCTAAAATCTGTGTAAGATTCATTTAAGGTAGACATTACTCCCCAGACTGCTTCTATACCAAGAGAAACAGGACAGCCCTGAGCAGAAGGGAAAGGCATGAATTACTTTTCTTCCAAGGAAGAGTGGTGAAGGAAGAAAAAATTTCCTTTGACACCCACCTTATATTGGTGCCCCTTCCATTTCATAAAAAACGGAATGCTGAATATATCAACTCCTTTAAAGTGAGGGTCTAGAGTTGGAAGGTGACTTGCTTATGGCTACAAAATACATGGAAAAGCTCTAATAATAAAAGACCTTCAAAGATCTCCACTTCAAAGCTATTGCTTTTCTGAACTGCAAATCTTTCAGGCAAGTAATTGCTTTTGCACCAGGATTTATAATTTGTAGACTTTTTAATATACTATGTGTGAGATGGATATGTTTGCCATTGTCATTTTACCAGTGATGAAGGGATCAGAGTTAACAACTAAGCTAATTTCCGGAGACTTGGAAGAGACAGAGATGCTATGAAAAGCAAGTTTTTTTTTTTTTTTAGACAGAGTTTTGCTCTTGCCCAGGCTGGAGTGCAGTGGTGCAATCTCAGTTCACTGCAACCTCAGCCTCCCAAGTAGCTGGGATCACAGGCATGCACCACTATATCTGGCTAATTTTGTATTTTTAGTAGAGATCGAGTTTCTCCATGTTGGTCAGGCTGGTCTCAAACTCCCAGCCTCAGGTGATCTGCCCACCTCGGCCTCCCAAAGAATTGGGATTACAGGTGTGAGCCACTGTGCCGGCCAGCAAGTGCCTTTTAAAATATTTTCTCAAGTATCCTGGACTTCCATTCACTTTTCCTCCTAATTTTAAGAGTATTAGATACTTACTATAGAAAAATTTGGAAAACACACAGAAAAACACCAGAGAAAAATTACATCACCTACAACCTCAGCACCCAGACATAACCAGTATAGCACTTTGAGTTTACATATTTTCAGTATTTTTAATGCATAAATATATATTTTACATGGGATATTGTACATATTGTCTTGTAATATTTTTACTTAACAATATATCATGAATACTTCATTTAATATTAATTGACATCAGTTTTGTTTTGTTTTTTTTCTGAGACAGAGTCTTGCTCTGTTACCCAGGCTGGAGTACAGTGGTACAATCTCGGCTTACTGCATCCTCCACCTCCTGGATTCAAGCATTTCTCTTGTCTCAGCCTCCCAAGTAGCTGGGACTACAGGCACATGCCACCATGCCTGGCTAATTTTTTTTGTATTTTTAGTAGAGACAAGAGTTTCACCATATTGGTCAGGCTGGTCTCAAACTCCTGACCTCAGGTGATCCACCTGCCTTGGCCTCCCAAAGTGCTGGGATTACAGGTGTGAGCCACTGCGCCCAGCCTGTTGAAATCAGTTTTAACAGCTTTTAGGATTTTGCATACATTCACGATGGTTTCTGAAATATATATCTCCAGGTACAAAGTGAAAAGGCAATGCTTAAGGCTTCTGGTATTGATTGCCAGAGACAGTATGTATTCATGTTTTACCAACAACATTAGAGTCCCAATGTCCCTGAATCCCTGTCAGTTTTATAAAGAAAAGTATCATCTCAATTCTTGCTTTAATATACATTTTAACTGCAGTGAGGTCAAACATTTATGTATTGTTCATTGGCACTTGTTTTGTGATGTTCCTACTTTTAAGTAGCATTTTTTTTTCTACTGGAACTCTCTTATGGGGAGACAGTATACTGAAGTGGCTCTACAGTCAGGTTCTGAGTTCAAATTCTGACTTCCCCGCTTTATAGATATATGACCTTTAGCCTTCATTTCTTCATCTGCTTCATATGCACTGTGATGAGAAATAACATTAATAAGTGTATACAAAGCCCTTAGCAGGTATCTATTACATTTCTTTTTTTCCTTTTTTTGGTTTGGAGACAGGGTCTTGCTCTGTCTCCCAGGCTGGAGTGCAGTGGCGTGATCTCAACTCACTGCAGCCTTGATATCCAGGGCTCAAGCAAACCTCTCACCTCAGCCTCCCAAGTAGTTGGGACTACAGGCATGCATCACCATACCTGGCAGATTTCATTTTTTGTAGAAATGGGGTCTTTGCTATGCTGCCCAGGCTGGTCTTTAACTCCTGGTCTCAAGCAATCTTCCAGCCTTGGCCTCCCAAAGTGCTGGGATTATACGTGTGAGCCACTGTGCTTGGCTTACTACATTTCTTACTGACATATAGAAGAGCTTTCTTACATAAAGAGTATTTCCCTTTTGCAACATACAATTCCTAATGTCCTACCTTTTTAGTTTGTTCAGGTCTTTGTGGAAAAGGAGAAATAAGAGTTGAGTAGCTCTTACCATGTATTTTAATATCTTAAATCTTTTCCAAATTTCCAAATGATGCCATCCATTTTCTTTCCATATTCTCTCCCCAAACTTGGACCTTTAGGCCTCCTGATGTTCTTACTGGTTAGCACATGTCCACTGATGTATGCCCCAATACGAGCATTACTTCTCTTTGCTTCTTTTTATCCTCATGAAAATTCTTTTTCTATGCACAGGATTCTAGATTTCCATACAGATTTGTTTTTGATGAGGTGTGTTATTCCTCCAAACTATTAGGTCTTCTGAATATGTCTTTGTGTTGCTGGTTAACCTGTACAATATTCCATCTTGCACTTAGCATCAGTCTAAATATTCTTTTCCTTCTAGGTCCCCCAGAAATGGGAAGTCTTGACTGACTGTGACCATTAGTTTCAGTTGTCACTTCCTTTTAGCATTGTCTTTAATTTGCAAAAGGTACGAAATACTGGTGACCTAAGACAAAACTGAACATGTACGAGGTACCTAAAGAATGTCACAGACCCAGCAACTGACAAATATTCTTTGAGCATCAAAGCCCTGTATCCCCTAGGATTTGTGGGGATACAGCCCCAGAAACAAATGATATGGCAGCTTCTGGTCTAGAGCCTTGGAATTAGAAGAAATCTGAGACTGTCTTTATCAAAGGAGAATCTTAAGGCTGGGAGGAGTCTTAACACTAACAGACTCTTGAGGTATAGGCTGGGCTCTTTCCCACCTTCATTCCCACCACTACCCTGATGGAAGTTCTAGGCTAGCCTACAGACTGGGAAAGGAAACCACATACTTGCCCTTTCCCTGGGGTCACATAAACCAAGACAAAGCTCCTGACTACTCTGTGGTCCAAGGGCTCCAGTTTTGTCTGTTAACAGGAAGTTCTCCATTGGCACTGCTTAAGACTCTGGCCAGACCCAGACTTCTCTGGCAGACAAGACGTCACTACAACAGGAGCTCAAGGAATGCTCCACACTTTGTTTCTGGCCTTTGGCTGTTGTTTTTTACTGGGAAGTTTCTTCCCTGGCCTACCACCTTGGCTAACTCCTCCTCACCCTTCAGGCCATTTCCCCCATTTCCTTATCTAAGGCTGAGTCAGGTGCTCCCTAAGGTCACATAGCACCGACCATTCCACTGTCACTGCCTATTTGGCTACCTTGCCCATTAGACTCTAGAGATTAGTCTTGTTTTCTACTGTATTTCTAGTCCCTGGCATAAAGTAGCTACTCAAAAATAACCTTTGGGTAAATTAATTTATATTCTTTCTTCTCATGCCTATCTAATTCCTGGCCTGCCTTGGGTTCAACAAATCATTGATGAAGCCATTTCCCCACTTTTCTTGCTGCTTTGTCACTGTTCTTTATTGGGTCAGTAATTTTTCTTTTAGTTTCTGAGACAAAGTGCCTCACATGGTCCACATCAGCCTCCTAAGCCGGTACACTAACAATCAGATGCAGTGACAGAGCTTGGTTTGCTATATCCTTTTCATGACATTTTCATAGAAAATGAGGTTTCCCATTTTTCATATTTCCTGAGTATTCCTAATGATAAGAAAAGAGCTGAAAGTAATGATTCTTCTGTCTTCTGATTAGTCACAGGAAAAGCTTTCAAGGAACACTTTAGCACTGGGAAATGCTGCACAAAGCAAGCTAGACTTAAGACCTAGTATATTATAACCTTTATGGCATTTAGCTCTACATGTTTGTTAGCTCTTTTAACTAACAAACATAAAAATTTGAATGAAGTATTTACACTATTTACAGTATTCACAAGTTACTTTATGGTGTGGACTCTCTGATGGCGCATAAGGACTGATCTGTGCCTGAAAGCCTTCCCACATTCATTACATATATAAGCTTCATCCCCAGAATGAATTCTCTGATGCTGAACCAGGGCTGAGCTCCTTTTGAAGGTTTTGCCACATTCATTACACTGATAAGGTTCCTCTCCACTATGAATTCTCTGATGTCTGATAAGGTTTGAGCTCAAACTGAAGGCTTTTCCACATTCATTACATTCATAGGGTTTCTCTCCACTATGTATTCTCTGATGAGTAATCAGCTCTGAGCTCTGCCTGAAAGCTTTTCCACATTCATTACATTCATAGGGTCTCTCTCCTGTGTGAATTCGCTGATGTCTAATGAGTTTTGAACTCTGGCTAAAGGTTTTCCCACACTCATTACACTCATAAGGTTTCTCACCAGTGTGAATTCTTTGATGTATAATGAGATAGGAACTTTGACTGAATGCTTTGCCACACTCATTACATTTACAAGCTTTCTCACCAGTATGGATTTTCCGATGTCGAATGAGGGCTGAGCTCTGATTGAAAGCTTTCCCACATTCACTACATTCATATGCTTTCTCACCACTATGAATTCTCTGATGAATAATAAGATAGGACCTCAAACTAAATGCCTTCCCACACTGGGTACATTTATAGGGCTTTTCTCCAGTATGGATTCTCTGATGTTGTGTTAGAGAAGAATGCTGCTTGAAGCTGTGCCCACATACATCACATCTATAAGGTCTCTCTTCAGGAGGAACTTTCTGACACATTATAGAGTTTGTAGTTAGAATCAAGCATCTTTCAGCCTCATCATAAAGGTCTCTCTTTCCTGGAGATGTGTTTGTGAAGATCACTTGACTAAAACTGCCCCCTTGGGAAGGAGATCTTAGTTTTTCCCCTATAGCACTTCCTTGCTTCCACTCTAAATTGCTTTCATGCTCACTAATTCCTCCAAATGAAGGTTCCTGAGGGAGTCCCTGTGATTCTTCTGAGATGTCCTCCTTTGTTGCTGTTTCATTGTTCTCACAATCTGAAACAATAAATAGCCAAAAAATAGATATTACATTTCTCTAGTCACTCTCAATACTTTCTACATGAGAGAAAACAGAAGCTTCTACCTACAAAGATGTCACTGTCCTCCAGTGTTTTTTTTTTAGTTGGCCAAAAGAGAGAGGTCTCTCTTCTTATCTAATAATGGCCTACATCTACACTTTGAATTTCATCCTTTCCTGCCTCTTTTGAGACATCAGTTGATCAATTACCTGTAATATTTTTCTACTATTTACAACCTTTTTCTCAACTGACTCCTGTTCATCAGCTTTTAAATAAGCTTAAGTATCTCTCACCTTTTAAAATCAATCTTCTTGCCTACATATCTCTCTTAAGCAACCTCACTCACTCTCATTCACAGTGGTTTCTTGAAAGAGTTGTCTGTAGCCTTTCAAGTGAAAGGATTCCCATTCTACAATCTAGTTTCTGCCTTACTGTGTCCCCGTCCCCTACTTCCACTGATACTACTGTCATCAAGGTCACTAACTTCATAGCTCTTCAATCCAATGGGTACTTTCTGGATTATTACTTAATCTCTCTGTAGCACTGACACTGAGGATCACACCTTCCTTCTAGAGACATTCTCTTCCAGTGATATTAGTTTGATTTCTGTGGCTGTTCATTTTTAGATTCTAGGGTGAATCACTCAAACACAAGCGTTCCTCCAGCTTCTGTTTTGGGCTCTCAGGTAACCTTATTCTACAAACTCTCTACCCTTCGCTTCCATTACAACTTATATTGTAAGCTATTGTCTGACTAATCTGCCCAGGTCCCCAATTTTATCCCTATTTTATTAAGCTCTAGTCTCATGCTAATTGGGCATTTTACTTTTGAATATTTAACAAGCAACAAAATGTACCAACCTAAATACATCATCAGATGTATTTGTTTTTCCTTTTCTCATTTACATGAACAGCACTACCATTGACCAGACTGTTCAAGACTGAAACCTCAGTATCATCTTTAATTCCTCTCCGTCACACTCTAGTTTTAACAATTACCAGATGTTGCAATGCAATTTAAATGCTGATGAGGCCAGGCACAGTATAATCCTAGCACTTTGGGAGGCTGAGGTAGGTGGATCACAAGGTCAAGAGATCGAGACCATCCTGGCCAACACAGTGAAACCTCGACTCTACTAAAAGATACAAAAATTAGCTGGGTGTGGTGGCACATGCCTGTAGTCCCAGGTACTAGGGAGGCTAAGGCAGGAGAATTGCTTGAACCCGGGAGGCAGAGGTTGCAGTGAGCTTAGATCATGCCACTGCACTCCAGTCCAGTGTCTGGCAACAGAGTGAGACTCTGTCTCAAAAAATAAAAAATAAAAAAATAAAAAACAAATGCTGATGAACAGAAGTCAGCTTTTATGTTCTCTACCCCTCATCATAACACATATTGATTGAATACACTGTGGTCACTTGGATTACAGCAGTCTCTAATAGGACCACACTCTTGCCTTCCTCACATGATTCTCCATTTGCAGCTAAGTTCTAAACTACAAATCAAACTATGTCACTCGCTTGTCCAAAATCCTTCAACTATACTTCACTGCACTTAAGAAACTATACAAACAAATTAGTACAACATAAAGGGGGGACCTGGATCCTATTTTCCTCTCTGGTTCTTCTCTTACCATTTTCCCCCGTCAATTCTCCATTCAAGTCAAATGTAACTACCTGCAATTTCCAGAATGGGTTGTATTCTCCCACCTTTGGGATGGTATGGCCTTTACTTGAGCTACTCCTCTTCCCACCTATTTACTCATAGGCTTTCTCCTACTCTTCAAGTCTTAGCTTAGATTTTCTTCCTTCAGGAAGTGTTCCTTGATCCTCTAAGATTGGGTTAGGTGCCTTTAGATGCACTCCAACAGTATCCGGTGCCTACTTTTATTCTATAATTTACTACACTACATTGCAATTGCCTTTTTACTTGTCCATCACCACCCAGACCTGAAACCTCTTTAAGACAGAGACTCAGGGCCTACCACAGTACCAGACATGTATTAACATTTTATAAAGTTATAAAATAATGAAATAAGTGAATGAATAACAGGGAAACTGACACAGGAGGGCTGACAGCAATTCATGACGGGTGCTGAATACCAAGCTGCTAAAATGAGCACCTCTGGTTTAGAATAAAAAAGGCGATGCTCACATGTGGCAAGTTTGTCAAGTGCAATTAATTGTGTATTCTCAAAAACAGAGGACTAAGTGTCAAGAGTTTCCAGATGACTTCCTATTCCTCACCACTTTTAGGGGAAAGGCACGGTTTCCAGGATTTCAGCTGTGTCTGTAAAGGCTGGAGGTGGATGTTTGTTGATTCTTGGGATGCTCTGAGACATGTTAAATCCTTCCATGGCACTGCTGGTCCCTGTGGACTAGCTGGGACCTGAAATCAGTAAAATATGGTTAGTTTTGTGAGAAAATTCCTAGGGAAACTTGCTTAGTAAAAATCTCAAAGAGGTCAGTGAGGACATCTACAGGGAGGAAGGATGGGGAAAAAGACCATTCAAGGGTATAGACAGGTATGGCTCTATTAGTCACTTCAGGTTAGGGTTCAGTAGAGACATAAAATTTTTTATCCTACTGTTACGATACCATTACATGCTCCAGGCTGTAAATTCCCTTTCCCTCAATACATCACTTTTCTCTGTTCCCACCTGCTGCCCTGGGTCATCAAACTCCTTCTCCAAATCCTCCAACAGGGTCACAGCTTCCTCGCCGCTTTTTGGATTATGTTGCTGAACCCAGATCTGCAGCTCCTCAGGCAGAATGCTCAGGAACTGCTCCAGTACCAGCAGTTCTAAGATCTGCTCCTTTGTGTGCAACTCTGGCATTAGCCACTGATAGCAAAGCTCCTGGAGTCTGCTCAGAGCCTCCCGGGGCCCAGGTGTCTCCTGGTAGCAAAACTTTCTGAATTGCTGACGAAACAAGTCTTGGCAGGATTGAGTACTCCCATTTTGCTTAAATTTCTCATCCCAGGAAAAGTTATCTTCTACTTTCACTAGTATTAGTTCTTGTTCCTGAGGATCCTGAGGTATCAGGGTTGAAATCACTCCAGATTCCACAGCCATTCTTGGCTGAAAGAGCTTAGCCAAAATCTCAGTACACCTGGGTTCTGTGCTTGGGGAGTGTGAGTGATCTCTTCTTTCCTGAAGAATATAAATGCAGTTAACTTACAGCAATCACAAAAATCTCTAAGAACTTGCAATAACAAAGATGAGTAACTTTAGTAATATATTGAAAGGGAGCAGATTTGGGGCTATCACTAAAACAATAATGAGATGACAAACTAAAAATCATTAACCGCAATCAGTGTCTCCCATTATGAAGAATTCCTACCACTAATGTTAGACTTAACTATTTTAGATGTCAGAGTGTGATTGCAACATTAACATCAGTCACATAGTGAGAAAATTTCCAATTATCTTTTGATTCTGATTATATCAAGGAGAAAAATCTATCTTTGACATGTATGTATTAATAAAACTTGGAGAACTCTCTTTTAAACAAAATACAGGCTTCAGAATCAGACTTCCAAGGGTAACAAGGCAGAATTTAGCAATACTGATTTTAAACGTTTATTTTTAGTTACTTTCTACCTAAAGCAGGTCATGTTAATTTTCATTTAAGGTAGTAACATTCTTAAGTTCACATTGAACATGAGTTGATGTAAATATTGGGTATTTGATCACATTTGGTGTTTACTGAATTACTTCAACACTGAGGCAGTTACTGAGCATTAGGTTAAGGTTTTTGCTTATGAATGAATGAGTCTACTGAAGAATTGACCAAGAACCAAGAAGTATCTGTAAAATGCTTACCATGTGTTCAAAAACATGACAGGTATCACATACCCAAAAGGAGCAAAATGAACATCAGCTCTGAAAAAGCTTAGAATATCCAAGGAGTAAAAATGTTCAAAAGCAAAATATGATAACAAATATTGATGTATTAAATTTTGTGACATAGACCAAACTTGACCAGATTTTAGGATGGTGAGATATCGACAGGAGTGTATCCCCTTGAGTTTGTCAGGACAGATGAGAAAATTCATTCCTCACACTATGGTTAACTTTAGAGATTAATTAGAATATGTAGCCTACAAATTTGTGGTTTATGAACCAGTCCAGCTGCACTAAGTAGCCTTCTATTTCTATATCCTCGGTTAAACTCGGAGCATTTGCGAAGTCAAGTGGTCTGGGGAACTGCGTTTTCCCCTGAAAAGCAGGGGTTTGAGTGCCTGCCTCCTCTAAGTCCCCCAGTCCCTTGGAGACGCCGCGCGAGCCAAGGGGCCGCGACCTGGGGATGGGCAGGCCAAGGAGCTGGGCTCCTCCACTGTCCGGCCGGCGCTCCCTCCCCCCGTTCCCTCCTCCTAGGGGCCCGCGTCCCTCACCGCGAAGCCCAGGAGCGGCCAGGGAATGAGCCGCCGACCCCCAGCCGCAAGCCACAAAGACCGGAAGTGCGCGTCGCAGTGTTCCGCTCTCGCGCCCTCCGGAGCCCCCGCCGCCCCGCCCCTCAGTCTCAGGTAGCCAATCAGAGTCGCGGGCTCTACTGTTCCCACCGCCTACTCCCGGCGGCAGCTAGTCCCGCGGAACCTCCAAGCCCAGGCTAGGAAGAGCCAGGAGGCGGGGTCCTTGTGAGCGTCCGCTCCCGGAGGGTTCCGCAACCCGCCTCGGCCGTCCCTTCCCTGTCCTCCCGCCACCACCCACCGTTGTTGGTGTCAAGTCATTCCCGAATCCCACTCCCGATTTTCCATTAAAATATTCAGATTTTCCTGGAATTCCAGTTCTTTTCCGGGATCTCTGACAAAAGTGAACGCAAGGATGAACAGGCTGAACAATCACATATATTGCTCTTGCCTGTGAATATCACTGGAGTCTTTACAACCGCTCTGTGCCGTGGCTTTATCATCCGCAATTTACAGCTGTAGACAGCGCCGAAAGTCAGGCAGCTTGTGACCAGGGACGCCCACGTACCCATAGTTGAAGGAAACTGGCGTCATTGACTCCAGGAGTCTATCGCAGGGTCTTCCCATTGTTCAATGGAAGCTTGCTGGTATTAAGTCTTAACTGTTTAAATTTTTCTTTGGCCATTTAGTCGGTGAAAGATGATGCCTTATGTTTTAACTTTGTGAGCTTAAGATGGTCTCCCTTCATGTTTACTTACCATTTATGGTTCTTCAGAGGTGGCTTTTTCCATTTAAAAATTAAGGGGTTAAAAAATTTTTTTATTTGTGACAATTTTCTGCTTGTTAGGATAACAACTCAGTTGCAAATCATTTCCCGTTTATTTGTATTTATTTTTAAAATGTTACATTTTACATGTTTAAATGTTACATATTTTTTAAATGTTATATTTTAAAAAAATATGCATAGGATAATAACAAGGCGATAAATAGAAACAAATTCTCTTTTATGAGCCAAGGCTGTTAAAACTCACGTATTTGAGAAAAATATTTATTAGCATTCAAAGCTATTGGTGACTCACTAAATAATTCTTTATCATTGTGAAATGACTATAGCAATTTTACAAAGCAAAAAACCAAATAATATTAATTTGTTTATAAATTATCAATTGCTTCATAATGAACCACTTCTAGACTTAGTGACTAAACACAGCAGATGTTTTATTGCTCACAGTTCTGTAGCCAGAAATTCAGGCAGGGCTTAGCGGCGATGGCTAGTCTCTGCTTTATAAGGCAGCTGTCTTCACTTAACTGGGGTGGAAGGTCCAAGATGGCTTCACTCACATTGCTGAAGTCTTGGTGCTGCCTCTTAGCTGGAGCTAACTTGATTCTTCTCCATAAGGACTCTCTCCATTCAGAAGTTTGGCCTAAGCTTTCTTACATGGTGACTGTCTTCCAAGAGAGTGAAGGAGGAAGAAAGATGCTAATTCTCTTAAAGCCTAAGTCTGGAACTGGCATTACATACTTCTGCAGTATTCATGACAGAAGGACTAGATTGGTGGAAAAGGAAAATAGACATTAAGCAGCTTGATCATGGGAGGAAATTTTGGCAGTTATCCAACCTAACACCCCTTGTTATATTGAGAAACCTACTATGTAAGGGTGAAACTATTGAAAGAGAAAAGGCCTATCTCTTTCAAACAGGAGCCTTACTAAATGTCCTTATTGTTTAAGCCTTTTTAAAACAATCCTAATAGTTAGATGCATGGAGATAAAGTCATTACCAGGGTTGGTTATTCTGTGTCTGGACAATATTGTCAAGGACACAGGTTTCTTCCTTCTTTTGGCTCTGCCATCTTTAAGTGTGTTGTTCTCTAGTCTGGCTTCCTCTATGGTCCTAAAGTGATTCCTTCAGTTTCAGATTACAGATAATGTTCAGAGACAACGAAGGGGAACACCCTTATCTTCTGACCCTTTATAAGACTAAGGAAACTCTTTTCCCCCAGCAGATTTCTCCCTCATGCCTGCTGGGGGGTGGGGTGGGGTGGGGAAGTAAGGCCTCCATGGTGGGTAGGACAATTGAAATTTATATCCCAGGACTAAAGAGAAGGCCACTCTCTCCTAAAGGACACAGACACTCTGGGGAAAGTGCATGAAATTAGAGCTGCGTTAAAAAAGCAGAAAAGGGAGATAAATAGATGAATGTTGAGTGTGCAACAGTAATGTGTACTTCAGTAGGTAAGCTGATTCCCTTGTATAGGTAAGAAAGTGAGACACTGAGAAAAAATCCAGACTCCTGTCCTTCCTTATGTTACGTATGTTTAAAATACAAAATATTAATAATTACTTGCAAAAAGATGTAGACTAGAGATTTAGAGCTAATTTCTGGGACATAGTTTAAATTCCCACTGTGATAGTAACTACCCGGTAGGGCTGTAGGGCTTTAGAGCCTCCTTAGGGCCCCTTAAGGGCCTTAGCCAACAATTTCCATGACTTATTTAACTTTCTGTGTTCTTGATCATATCAATGCCCCTTAAATCATTCCCTTCATTTTCCCCTGCCTCCAATCTCACATATATCCAGTCTGCTTTAATATGAAAATATTTGCTAAATTATTGAATCAAGGGTAGAGAAGTTTAATGTTTTTCTCCTCCTTCAGATGTTCTTAATTTTTGTTTCTTTTTTTTTTTTTAGTGATATGTATGACAGGTGTTAAATAATGTTGGCTCCAGGCATTATCAGTGATTAGTGAGTAAAGTTGTTCATTCAGTGAAGTCCAACTGCTTGAATTACTGTATCATATAACATTGATCTACTTTATGATATTCAACAAGTGAGAGAAGCCCAGTGAAAGTCTCTTAACTGTAAACAACTATTCAATAATAAAGGATAGAGAAAATGGCTTCTGATGTACAAGGGAAGTGAATCATTTCCTTTTATTTTTATTTTTTATGGGAAAAATTTTTTTTCACAGAAACAAGGTATCAGTATATTGCCCAGGATGGTCATAAACTCCAGGGCTCAAGTGATCTTGTCATCTCAGCCTCCCCAAATGCTGGGATTACAGACATGAGCTACCATGCCTAGCCAAATCATTTTCTTATTCAGCAAATATTATGGAACATTTGTATATGTGAAACACTGAGAAGAAAAGTAGGGATTCAAATGAAGTAAAATATACGCTCTTTCACCTCACTCATCACTGTAATTCCTAGAGTATAAATTCCAGGAGGGCAAGGGTTTTGTCTTCCATGGCTGTCTCTCCTGCATGGCCTAGCATTGTGTGGATATTTTGATAGATAAATGAATGAATATATAATACATATATACAAGAAAGACTATTGATGCAAAAACTAGTGATAGTTTTTGAAGCATTCAACGAAATGGAGTATATAGATAGGAACATTTTAAATAATATGCTTAGACTATTTTAATATGAACCCAGGGTTTGTTTTTTATCAGATATGGTAAGATGACAAACACAGAGGCAATTGCCTTTACAAGAATAATTTATTACTCACAGTTCTAGAGGATTAGATGCATGGTATGCCATGGGACCACTTGCAGGGAGAAATAGGGAGAGTGAGAATGAGTGGGAGAGAAAGGAACTTAAGCTAAGACTTTATTGCTATAGTAGCAGTAAGTTGCAAAGTGGAGATGTGCACGCAGCGCATGTTGACGCTAGTGTTTGGAGGGTTTGTAGTAAGCAAAACACACATATTGAGGCTAGTGGTTGGAGGGTTTGTAGAAAGATTTCTGAGTGCCTGAGAAAACACAGGACCGTAGAGGTATAAACAACTTGGAGCCTCCAGCACTGGCCAGTGACTATAAGCTACCACATCATCAATTATGGAATATCAAGAACAGTCACTGTACTTGATACATGATGTCACTAATTTAGCAGTTGTATTTTTCAGAGACAGATAATAGGATGTATTAACAGAGCAAGACACTGCTTATTTGTAGTGTTCAAAACAGTAAACAAAGGCCTTAGTCACTAAATTGTTTGCTGCTGATGTCAAAGAAAGCCTTTGAGGTTTCTTATGACATTCATTCTTGTATCTATCATGTATAGAACAGAGTTAAAGCTTCAGGTAGGTTGTTATTACTATTTTACTTTTTACAGGCTAGCCACATGATAAATCATTTGACAGGGCTCCCACCCCAGCTCTTAATCTGTCAGCCACTTCAGAAAGATCTTCCACTGGGACCCTGTTCTGCCTTAGGGATAATTCAACAAGGATACATAGATATAGTCTAAGAACTTTTTTTTTTTTTTTTTTTTTTTTTTTTTAAAAGGCAGTGCCTAAATACATGTTCTCATAGTTTTGTGGGTAGGAAAGTTGAGCATCTGGAGAAAAAGCATCAAAAAAAAAAAAAGCTGTAGGAATTGGGTGATAAAAGACACTCACCTCACTTTATTGTACTTATCATATGTTATAAGGTGGATGTGTTTAAAAATCTAATCTGGTTGCCTTGAGCTTACATTATTTGCCTAAATTCTTTTGGTGTAGGTATCATTATTAAAAGGAGATTTAGATTTTAATTGAATTATTCAGACAATGAATTTATTGAATATTCATTGGGTTTCTGTTTGACAGTGTCTAATAAGAAATTTCTTTCTTTTAATCTTGCTTGGCAACATAGTGGTAAATAAATAACTAATTTATATATTCCCATACATTACCTTCAAGCCTCCTAAATGCCAAATATACTTTTATTTTAAACTGTCTTTCACGTGGTACAACGTAATTTGCTTATCTTTCTGGATATGTCTACCTTTTAAAAATTATTTTACATATATTATTTTATATTATGTTTTTATGATGGATTATACTGCTGCAGTAATACTTTTCTTATAAATGGCTACTTCTTTTGGTTATATTTAAAAGATCCAATTGAATACCTTCTTGTGGGACTTCCTTTATTTATAATCTACCAATTTGAAATTGTAAATAAGTATACAGAGACAATAAATTAACTTTCATTACCAGTGGTGGAAATTATTATCCAAAGGGAACTTTTGGGGCTAGCAC